AAAGCCCAGAGCCAGGCAGGGGCTGCTGCGCTGCCCACAACACCCAGCACCTGGGGGAGAACAGGAGTGGGACACTGCCACACACCGATCAAGCCAAAGATGCCGAGGATGGAGGGGGCGAAGATGACCAAGAGGTTGATGAAAGTCAGCAGGACCACGGCAATGGTGACGTGGCGGATCCAGCTGAAGTCCTTCCCCTGGAACAGCATCTGCTGGATGGCCCGTCGTACCTGGGGACAGGGATTGGGTGTCATGCTCCCGCCTTGGACCCAGGGCCCGTCTCATCACCTGTACCCACAGTCCTGACAGTCCCCAGCATCCCTTCCCAGCCCCATCGCCATGGCACCACTCATGAGGTGAGGTGGTGATGTTCACTGTGAGATTCTCAGCCCCATCCCTGACACCTATCTAGTGCCAGTCCCCAAGCCCTGCAGGCCCACCAGTCCCTGGCACCCAGTTCCTGGGCTTCAGCCAAATCACTGCCTCAGTCTCCCTTCTCAAAGCCTGGTGCCAACGCCCTATTTTGGCTGCGAAGGGGCGGTGCCACCTGGCATCACCACAGGGCCACTCACCGGGAAGAGGACGATGGGGACAGTGAGGGTGACAGCCGTCAGCACGGCCACCCGCACACACAGGATGAGCACGTCGAAGGGGTCCACTTTGTTGTAGGTGTGCAACAGCTCTGACTCCACCCGACCTGTGGGCACCCATGGGGAGATGCTGGGTGAGCCCTGGCACTGTCAGCCCCGGCCTTGGTGCTGGCATGGCCCCCAGCCCCCTCCCCAAGAACTCACCATAGAACGTGAGGTACCCAAAGAGAGCGGCCAAGAAGTACATGAGGTACATGACCATGATGGAGATGTTGGAGATGCACTGCATCTTCTTCTTGGAGGGGCTGCGGGAGACAGTGGGCTCAGCACAGCCCAGACCACTCCACGGCACCCACTGGCACTGAGCACTCGCCCAGCAAGGAGGGGTTATGCTGGAGCACCCTGGGGTGCACAGGGGGTGTGTGGAGAGGGGCTGAATTCCCCTTCCCAGCCTGTGTGGTGGGTTGAATCATCCTTCATCAACCACCCAACCACACACCCTGGGTCATAACACCCACCTTCCAGGGGTCATATCATCCACCACCACCCACCCCAGGTTATATCACCAATCTCCTGGGAGTAATAACACCCATCACCCAGCCACCCATTCCAGGTCATATCACTCACCTCCTGAAACTGGTATCACCAGGTCCTATCACCCACCACCCAGCCACCGAGGGTCGGATCACCCACCCCACCATAGTGCCCCAGCGCAGGTCCCACACCCAGATGGCACTGTCTTTGGGTGGGCACTGGACAAAGCCCACCACTCCCCACGGGTGTTCCCAGCCAGGACTCACTCCTTCAGCTCAGTGTAGATGGGCAGGACTTCAGGGTGGCAGACGAAGGCGAAGGCCATGATGGGGATGGTGTACGCTGTCTGTGCAAGAGAAGGGGTGGCTGAGCACCGGGACCAAAGCTGATGGGTGCTGCCCATGCTGGAACCACCTGTCTCCATGGAGTGCACGAGGTAGGGGCTCATCCAGAACCCCAGGGGTGCATCCCATGTCCCTACCTGGGAGTTCAGGGTGAAGAAGCTGGGAGTGCAGGTGCCCTGGTCAGGTGCTTGGAGGACAGTGTAGCCGTTTTGGTAGTCGCTGGTGCTGACAGGGGTGGTGTTGAGGCTGCCTGTGAAGTTCCCCTCCTGCTCAGGGAGCGGGCAGGGGATCTGGAACTTCTTGTAGATGACCTGGTGTTGGGGGGACACGAGACAGTCAGCTCCTGGTGCCATGACCCCCCAGCACTGGCTGCCCAAGCAGGCACCGCACCCAACAGGAGGGTGCCTGTGCAGGGACCCCTCCATGGTACCCAGTGGTGCCCCACAGTGATGCTGTGCCCCCCAGCCTACCTCCTCGAGGGTGGGAAATGGAGCAGAGTGGAGCAGCGGCACGTGGAAGGGCCACACATGTGGTTGCCCCCCCCCACACTCTCTTCCCCTTTCCCCAGCTCTCAGCTCCTTCAGCCAAAAATAACCCAGCGGCTTGACAGCATCGCCACAGCGTCTCCGCAGCCCGGAGCACCCACTGTCCCTGCTGTCCCCACGGCACACAGGCTGGCCAT